ACTAAACCCAAAGAGCCATAACTATCAGCCCTTCAAATGACTAAGGACCAAGCGTTCACTCTCGGGATCTCAGTGAAGCAGAGCGGAAATCTTTCAGTCACCTGCTTCATCCCCTGGTCTGTGCTGTGTGTTTTCTCTTTTCCACCTTGCTGTGCTGGGGGAGGCGGCTGGTCCTTAGTTTTGAGTGCTTCCCCCTTCTTAGTACAATTTCACCTTTGAAAACAGCTGCCCAGTGCAATGTGCAACTTTTCATCATTAATAGATCCTTATCATTTTTCTCTAAAGGTTACACGGTCACTGGCTTACACTATAGTTTGCCAAGAACTAAGTATGCCAGTGTTCAGGCATATCAGGCTCTGGACTAGTAGACGGCATGAGTTTATAACCAATTTCAAAGGGATCTTCTCACACCGGGTTCCTGAAGTAGGTCAGTAGGGTACCGAGGGGCGCTCTTGAAGTGGTGCGGGTCTGGAATGGTGACTATCTGGAGCATTCCATACAAGGGCAATTGTAGAAGAGCTGCTTTGTGTGTGTGTATGTGGGTAGCTTTGTTCGCTTACTGTACTTTTAAGGCTCATCCACGCAGCACCGTGCTATCCGCGCTCTGCGCCTTTAACAAATAGTCCGGCGTATGGAGATACACGCAGCTATTGCATCGCTCGGGCATTTGTATAGTTTCTACTTTTAACCACGGTGTACACAGTGCTGTGTGTGTACACACAACCCGTGCTGCCATTTTGATTTTTCTCAGGTTCTGCGATGGTTGCTATCAACTCCAGGGGATGTAGAATCACCAAGGAGTCTAGGTTCTGGGCACGTCTGTGAGAGGATCTCTGGGCTCCCTTCGAGGGCTAGGTTTTGGAACCCCACTTTACCTGCACGAGGTAGCTGCCCTGTTGGTCCTGTGTCACCTGCCTGAAGCTCTTCTTCCTCCACAGCACCATTTCAACACCTTTGTTAGTTACTACTTACCATAAATGTAGCTCTCACCTTGTTAGGTGTCTGGGGCCTCTCTGTTCCCATGAATTCAGTTAGCCTGGCAGCATCAGCAAGCTACTTACGAGCCAGAGCTGAGGGCGCTGCCTCCTAACAGCAAACCCCTTCATTACTGGGTAGCTTTCTATCGTTCAAGCTTACAGTTTCCTATTTCATAGTTCGCAGCATGTGAACTTGAAATTTATTTTGTTAAAGTCTCAAGTACACTATTCTTCTGATACTACTATCAGGGGAATTTATTTTCTTCTTAGATTGCTTATTGCTAGCTCACAGAAACAACTTCTAATTCTCCCCACAATCACCACCAGTGGATTGTGAGCCCTGTACCCTAGATCTGTGTTTTCTTTGAATCAGGCTTGTGTAGAATGAGCCTTGTTATACTTAATCCCTTCAGTACTAGAGATTGACTTCCATTCAACTTTAATGGATATTCTAATTCTAACCAAAATTGCTTGGACTCTAGCACTTTTTAAAAAATTTAATTTTTACTTTATGTACAATAGTGTTTTGACTGCATGTTTGTCTGTATGAGGGTGTCAGATCCCCTGGGACAGGAGTTACAGGCAGCTGTGAGCTGCCATGTGGGTGCTGGGAACTGAACTCTGGTCCTCTAGAAGAGCAGCCAGTGCTCCTAACTATTAAGCTATTTCTCCGGCTCCTGAAGCACTGCTTTTCAGACAAAATTATTGGCTAAAATCTTGAATCTCGAGGGCAAAAATAAAACACTTTTGTATTTCCTGGAAAATGAAACTTTTAGCTTTGATTTAAATTGCCTCATGAAATGCCTGTTCAATTTTGTGCTTCTGGAATGGTCATGGCAGACACATTTTCTGCAGTATCTGAAAGCGGAAAGCCACAACCATGTCCTCACTTAACCACAGCCAGTTTGCTTCTGTGCTCAGCACACTGAGCCAGATCTGTGCATCTTGAGGAGCTGTGAGTCACAGCTTTAAGGGCTTCCTAACAGCCCATGTTCCTTCAAGTCACACATCACTTCTAGACCTGACAGGCCCTCAGACTATGTCGGAATGATTTCTGGTCACTTCCCAGGGATAACAGACTGGAATACTTTCTTAATCACTTTTGTTTGTTGATGGGTGTGTATTCTTATTTATGTGGATTGGCGCGTGCTGTGGCATGCATGGAGTCAGCGGATACCTTATAGGAATTAGCTCTCCTTTACTCAAGGAACAAACTCTGGTTGTTTTTAGGACTGGTGGCCTCTACCCACCAAGCCATCTTACTAGCTTTTATTTGGGTGTTTACCACAGAACATTTCCTTGCATTTGCAGACAACCAGGAAAGCTTTAGCTTCAGGATGAAAGGACTCCTGACAAGAAACCAGACAAACCTTTAAAAACAACACAAAACCCCCAAAACAATTGGCAGAAAAGTCAAAAAGCAAGTTAGAGGCCAGGAAGATGTCTTGGTGGCTAAAACACTTGCCTCACAAACAAAAGAACCTGAGTTTAGACACCCAGAACTCAACACAAATGCTGTGTAGGTGGTGGCTTGCCTGTCACTCCAGGTCTGGAAGGCAGGGACAGGAGCTCCACTCTGTAAGCTGGCCAGCACGACCAGCCTCATCGATGCACTCTGGGATCGACTGGGAGAGCCTGCCTCAAAAATAACATGGCACAAACACAGAGGAAGGTTCTTGCTATCAATCCCGGGTCTCCACAATGTATACAGTGTGGACACATGCTCACACACACGTGAACATGCATATGCACACACACACCACACACACACACGAAAAGAAAAATAACGCAAGTTAAACATCTAACAGATAAGTTGACATTTATTGTGCAATTTTACCCCCAACAGAACATGTGGCATTCTAGAGGTATATGAGGTAAGAAAATCAATATTCCAATTAGAACACCTGAAATAATCAGCTCTAGTAACAAATGTCTCTTATAATTAAAAATATTGAATGTTTAAAAAACTCTTATAACATTTTAGGTTCCTAAAAGAAATGGCCTAACACTTAAAAAACAACTTACTCTTCTATATAAATTGTTCACAAAAAATTTTTGCTAGTCTATATTATACTATGCATTTTAGCTTTATTAACATATCCCTAGTGTGTATGACTTCTACACAGTACAATGAAATAGAAATTATTCAGGGAAGCCACAGACTCCAACAATAAAAATATTAGGATCAATGGATTTGTCACAGTTTCTCCACAAGTGTTCATCATAGAAAATGGAGTAAAGGCAACTGGCCCCAGTGGCAGCTGCTACACGCCAGTCTGCAGAGGAAGGCGAGGCCTAGCCCGGGCAGGGTCAGGCCAGACAGTGACTGAGTTCCCTGTCTGCCTCTGGCAGGCCTTGCTCCCGAGGCACGAACTAGGGCCTTCGTGGCCTTGACATGCTCTCGAAGGATGATAAAGCTTGAACTACAGGGGCAAAAACAACAGGTCACTATACTCTTTACACAATCTCCTCTACAGGTCTCACAGTGACATTGTCAATGAAAACCTCCTGTTCCACCAAATTGGAAGTGTCACCAGGAGGCTGCAAAACACAAAGAGATAGGAACACTGGCCAATACCCAGTGCTGTCACCAGATGATCTAGTCACAAAATTCCGTTTTCTTTTACGTGCCTGCATCTTTGTACAGGGAACCTAGAACACCAGTTGGGGGGAACTAGACTTCCTTTAAATAGTTTCTGGTCTCCTTTACAGTGTCACACAGTCCAAGCCTCCTGCCAGCTTTTTGAGAACTCCTGAAGGCCTGGGCTTCACAGGCTTGTTATTTAAGCACCTGCATATTTCCAGAGCAGATTTAATGACATAAATGCCAACTTGCCCTTGATAACACCACGAAAACAAAAACGGAAACAAAAAGATCCACTCCTAAGTGTTGGCAGACTTTGAGAACCATGCTTGACGGGGAAACAGAAGTGGCCATCCTGCTTACTGAGCTGAAGTGAGCTCAGGTGAGCACCCTGGAGGTAGCAGCCCTGAGGGCAGCTGTGAGAAAAAGGCTGTGTTAAAGTGCTTATCAAAGCAACGGGCACACAGGAATCAAGGGCCACACTAAGGTAGCCAAAGTTAACTATTGCTGTGGGAGTGATGTCCACCCGGACCAAACCATTCTGCAACATGCTGAGGCACATCTGGCCACTTGTACTGGTGCCACCATTCGGAGTGACCCAGGTTTCTGAATGGGTCTTGCTAGCAGATGTACTTTCATTGTTGGGGAACTGTGATTCAACGAGAGCCCAGTCCTTACAGGCAGCTATGGAAGCTTAGAAGGGAAGTTTTTGGTAACTTACTGCCTTCAACAGTTGGACTGACAAGGCCAGTGATTAGGTGTGAGAATTCCAGTTCTCCCAGTATTTCCCAAAATTCAACATACTACGGGGAGTGCAAGTGGCCTCTAGTGTGTGAATGTAACAGCTGAAGTTTTAAACTGGACTGTTAAAAGGTAAGTGGTGATGGGGGTATTATTTTTGCCCTTCACATTGCTGATGTCAACTCTCCCCTTTACTCTAAACAAACACACACACACACAAACACACACACACACACACACACACACACACTCATGCCCCTGGCTAATAATGCAAGTAGCTTTGCGATCAGCTGTGTGACATTTTCCTCCAGTGTTTCAAGAGGTTATTTTTATCCAGCACTTACATGACTGAAAGAAGCCATCACTCTGTTTACAAAAATACCTCATAATGACACACACTGCTGTTTCGACACATTTGCATTAGAGTTGTGACTCAAGCATCCCTTTTGACATGTTTGCCAAGCAGCTTTGGCAAGTGTCGCCGCCACATTAAGCACACACCAGCAAGACTCACACCGTATGTGCAAAACCGTTTTCTATTACGTTTCTACAAATCCATATGTGAAAGCTGTCACAAATTAACACAGACCTGCACTGTGAGATGATTCAGCATTGACTGAGGAAATCATACACTTAAAATCTTTTCTAAAACTCACCAAAATAATAATAATAATAATAATAATAAAGTTACCTTTAAACCAAAAGAGATAACTGGTCTATATGTAAACTAAGGAGGTAGTCAGTGGGCGTTAGGATTAGTCTAGAGCACATATTGAATGTCTGATCCCTTGTACCGAAAAACACAGATCTCAAACAAGGACGATGTGTGTTTGAGTTCTGGACAGAGTTCACATCTTCCCATGGTGCTCCATCCACTTTCTCAAGAATTGTAGAACGAGGCACAAATATGTAGCAATCACACACCTGCAGATTCCCAAAATCAAGTTATTGTTTAGATTTTTGTGTAAACACCTGCTACTTCAAGAATCATTATAGGACTGAATGGAAAAAACAACCAACAATTCTATTGCCACCAGTGGCTGTGACCTGATGCCACATAGAGTACCTGTATCAAGTAAGACTGTAATGATGTGTCTCCTTACCATCCTGATGAAGGGTAAGGGACTATCGACACGAACCACCGACTAACTACAGCCGTGAGTTGTGACACGGATCCCTCAATACTTGAACAAGAGATGACAGCACTCTTGCACACCTCTGTTCTCTGCTCCCTACCTCGGGAAGCCTTATGAAACACATGGTGACAGGTCCCTAAATGCTGTGATGGATGAGGAACAGGGTTAAAGCCTGGTAGAAACAGCTACAAACTGACACGCTTCAGGGTTCTTGATACCACGAGAGGCTGAATACCCACAGATGGGCTGGTGAGAAATGTGACCGAATCAAATGTAGAACTCTGCTCCTCTCCACAGGTTTCTGGTCCCAGTGCCCTTACAGGTTATTCCAAGGTCATCTTCCTCTTGGCAAGATTTGTGCTTGGGGAGTCAGATCACTGTGAGAAACAGCCATTTGAATTTGGAAAATAAAGGCCATGCCATGGCAATGTCACTGTTGATTATGGAGCCTCTGATAGCTGGGACACTGGACCCACCTAATCACTGACAAGATGCCACATTTAGTGTTCTCACCAATGGGACGGCACAGCTGCACTCTGAGTTGTTTTAACTCAAGTCTACTTTGAACCGACACAAAATGACTCAGGGTAATTCTAAAAGTTGACAGAGGACTAAGTTTTACACTGTGAGAGCCATGTGTCTGACTGCCAGAATGCTATGAAAAAAAAAATCAAACCAACACTGTGGCTACGTTGATAGCCAACATCCTCAGACTTCCAAACATGAAATCAAAGTCTTGTGGAAAAATCAGGGCAGCCATCTTAATGGTGAATTGAGTCCCTGCCAGAGGTGGCACCATTTGTAGGCTGATTTAACACTCAGCTGACCACACAGCAAACCTCCATGACTTAAGTAGCACTCCAGCTTTAAGTAGATACCCGCTAAGGGAAAGAGCCAGCAGAGGACTTAGACAAATTGTTGACTGCTGCTACTAGGCAGACAACCAAGCTAAGGAAAATGGCAATCGCATAAATAGAGGCAGGAAAAATGGACACTGGGCAGGGCTGAGGACTACTGGCTGTGGATACTGAGGAAGGCAGCACCCTGGGCCTTAGTTTCCTCATGTGCTCAACGGCCAGTATCACTTCCACTGTTTCAGAAATGGTCAGTCATGGGAAACTGCTGACAGAGCGGACCCTCATCTGGAGAGGCAAGGAGCAGGTGGCTTAGGAGCAGAAGCAGTGGTGAGCCTGGCACAGGCTCTCTTTCAAATGGTAGAAATAGCAGCCTGGAGGTTCCCGCCCCCACCCCATAGCTGTGGGAAGCCAAAGGACTGGAGAGTTAGTGCTCTAAATGCATGTTATCCATCGCAAAAACCTGTACCACAGAAGATCCAAGATGGTGCACAGAAGGTACGTGCTGAACCCCCAAACCTACAGCAAAGTGGTACAGCCTGCAAGTCCACATTCCTTAAAAGCAGCTGCTAAACATCAGCAGTGACAACATACCCACAGATGATGGAAATGCAGATGAAAAGATGGCCTGCTCTACCCAAGGAATTTAGAGAATTCCTAGGATAGACTTCCAGACCTTTGATCATGTTAAAATGCCCCTTTCTCTTGGATAGCCAAAGACACTGGCGTCGGCCATGTAAAGGACACCTCATGTACTCATTTCCTTTCCTTCTAAACTGGTCATCTGATTTGTTCAAAGTCTGATGGTAAATACTGAAGGATGTATGATATATTCTAACAAAACTGCCCTCTGCAAAAGTTCTTTTCTATGTGGATATTCAGTCTGAATTTCTATCCCATGTTCAAAGCTCTTCACTATGTTCGAAGATGACACTCATAACCCTAAATAAACAGTGCCTACTCAGCTCTTGGTTCCACAAGAACAGTCATCTTGACTGTTTAACAATGCCACTCTCTCCTCATGTCCAAAGTTGAACCCTCATCAGCAATGACTATCGCAGCTCTGTAGCCTTTGATAGGAAATTAATGGTTCCCAGGACACCACTAACCTCACATATGGATTCCACAAATTAACCAGGGAAACAGGACAGTAACTCAGAGCTTAGACTGAGAGTGGCTGTGGGGAAAGGAGGCACAGCTGGATGAGGTGTTTTTCCCCATGACAATGGGAGACAGAAATGTTATACTTTCTAGACCTCCACTCAGCCCAGAAAGGTCAAGTTTCAGGGAAATCACCAACAAGCCATTCATTGCATAGTTGTCAGAATGGCCTAGAGGCTGTGTGTCTACAATGCTAGGCCCCTGATCAACAACAGATGCTGTCAGTCATCAACCATGCTTGATCTTACAAAACAGCTAGCTAGGGGGAATCCTCACTGAAGCCACCACCAATGTGTTGGCAGAGTATGAGTTAAGGCTATGGAAGCTACACATCTAAGAATTTATGAAGTGAGGAATTTGAAAATGGCTTTGAATCTTTGGACGTTTCCTAAAGATATAGCGAGAATCTCCTGCTTGTAAACCACAAAGATGAGTCTGCCTTTCTGATTGACACAGTGAATTCTGACTGTAAGATAACAGAGAAGTAGCTGGCTTCCACTTAGCCACTCTATACACATGGCCTCTGTTCCTGGCTTTGCATCAATAAGCTTATAATATACAGAAGCTCACAGTGTCATCTATACTGTGTCACTGCTGAGAACTCTGAATGCAAGCCTTTGGAAAATCGAAAGACAACTTACTTGAATTGAATAAGAAAATGCTTGTTGCTTTGTCCCTGGAAACAGCTGTGTGTCTTCCCTTCTCCTACGTGCAGGGACACTAACTGAACCTTCCCTGGAGACCAGCTCTGCTCAGGAGGCCAGGCTTACCTGAAGATCTGGGACAGGAAACACCCTCAGTGTCTAGCTAGTAATGACCTCATGCCAACTGTACCTTTTCCCCTGTGATACCATACACCCAAAGTCTACTGCAGGTGCCAAAGACTTCCCCCAAAAAACCCTAAAGTGGATTTCTATTTGGGGACTGTGGCAGTGGGTCAAGAGTTTTAAATTCGAGAATGTGTAAAGTATTGACACAATAACATGCTTCGGACTCTAAGGTGACAAGGAAATGGACATTCACAATTGGAGCTCTTAAACAAAACAGAAAACAAAAACACCACTGCCAGGGTGTGAACAGCCTGTCTACTAGTCCCCAGCTCCATCCTGTGAACTCTTGTTGAAGACCTCGTCTTGGGAAGCCTGGTGATCCATGCCTTCGTAGAACGAGCCACCGTTGTGCAGGAAGGTCCCCACTGCCCGGCCCTGACGGGCGTGACCCACAGCATCACTGAACACCTTATTGATCTGCTCCTCCGAGGGCATCCACCAATCAGGGTTCGAGGTACAGTGCATCCTAATGAATTCTGTGGGAATACAAACAACAGCAAAAAAAGAGAGAAATCAGCCGGTATTTTGACAGGTGATGACAGGAGGCAGCGTAATCTATAGCAGAAGCACTATCAGAAGAGTGACATGGAGGTCCAGTGCAATGCCATGACAGTGTCACTCACTACCGCCAACCTAGCCCACACCAGTGTTCTCATGTGCAAGAGCAAAAGCCACCTAAAATCTCAAGGTAATATTTGCTGCTGAAAAACAAAGCTAAGTGTCTTCCTCTATTGCTCTTTGCCCGGCTTTTCATATGGGTCATCTGAACTCACTCCCAGTTGTGTGCAGCAGATGTTCTACCTACTGAAAACCTTTTCTCTAGCAGGCACAGAGCTGGTTTAGTTTTTATTACTTCATAAACAACAAGCCCAAGGCTCTTCCTCTTGATGAGCAACTCCACCACCTTTGATGATGTTGGAGATTAAGGGGCATTACGATCAATTAGCTAAATAAGGTATGTTCTAGAAATTTCCATCATCCTGGTCACCCTAAGTTAAGTGGAATTTTGGACAGGGTCCACAAGATTGCTTTACAGCACTGACACTAGTTAATGCTGGCATTCTTGTAGCAGAGGCTTCCCTAGGCATGGGTCACTTGCATCAGAATCATCTAGGATGGTTGACAGCGGTGCACGCATCAAGCCTTCAATCCCAGCTGAACATGTATCTGTGGGGTGAGCCAAAGAAGCCTCACTGATAGCCAACAGGACATGTGCACTTGGGGCAGCAGGGGTTAGAGTTCAAATGTCTGGAGGGAAGGCCACATCCTGGGGGGAGTACACAGACAAGCCCTCCAATTGTCAAAGCTGTGCTTTCTCACTAGGAAAAATTTGGATTCCCACCTGGACTAAATCAACATGTTTCCCAAGCCAATAAAATGGGTACTGAACAGTAAAGGGCCTTCCTCTGTGCTTTCTGCTTTACATCCCAGGACAGTGCTCTGGTGGCCCCATAACACCTCTACTTGTTCACGTTTGTTGGAACCTGCCCATCGTCTGCCAGATCCCCAATCCTGCCTACCCTACAACTGGAGATCAAAGCAATTACCAAAATACCGATGCAACTGTGTTATCTAAGCAGATAAGATGCTCAGATAGAAGCTTTGAACACAGCAGCTTTTTATTTCATTTATTTACTTTAACCTAAAAAGGTTTTCTGGGTAAAGTCTACTTCTGGTATGCTTTGTAAGTATTCCTAAAAGAAGCAAGCCAGATGGAGGGCCGTGGAAGCAAGATACCTTTTTACCAATTACAAAAGCACATCTTCTCCCCCTGTGTGTTTCTCCCTATGCTCCAGTTTTGCTGAACGTGGCCTTCTCTGGCAGCAAAGACAATCTGAACTGAAAGCGTGAAACATGAGGTGCTATGCGATGCCTTTGTACCATTACGTGAGAACGAGGCTAAAGCTAAAAACTGTTTACAGAGCTTCTCAACACCAAGTAAGTAGATGGCCACATGAAGCTTGGAAGGTCTTGGTGCAAAGATTAAAAAGAAAAAAAAAATCAAAATACAGTAACGGCTGAACACTTGTGTGGGGAGCCACAGCCAATGCAGTGAAATGGGATCACGGATGGTGGACACTGAGGGGAAGGATGCGGTACCTCGGAGGCACGTGACTTTAACTGGATCCAGAGGGCGTCTTTCAGGACCTGTCTCTCCTGACTGCACTGACCTTTTCCTTTTCCCAAGGCCGCATGAGTACTTAAGCTCATCGGTTGTGAAAACAAATCTGATGAGGTATCGAAGGAGCCGTCTCCCATCTTTCTTGGAAGAATTTACAGCCTCATCCCACTGTTTGCTTGTTATGTAGACAGGATAGTTGTTCAACAGCTGCTTGCTTCCCTGGAAAAGGAAAATATTTTCTCATTACCTACTGAGTCAGCCAGCCAGAAGCCAAAGCGATCTCCATTTCAAAGGCAAACATGCTTTTTTAACCAAGTGGCTATGCTGACAATGAACTGGGCATTGAAGAGCACAAGTAATTGCTCACACTCAGAACGGGCACTTTTCAAATTACATTTGCATTTTCCATAACAAGAGCCAATGAGGTATAATGAACACCTTTGAAAGAGGAGCTATTTATAACTCGGATTTTAACAGGTAGGTTAAAATGTGTCAAGATCCAATGACAGGGAACACTATTTAAATATAACCTGTAACTTTCCCTTTCAATCTATTAAATATGCAAAAATGACTTTGAAGAGTGTGATCAAACAGGTCCCTTCATCCTCCGGCTGGCAGTTAAGTTCTTAGAGAAATGGCGCCGGCAGTCTATTTTAATAGGCACTACTTGTGTTTAAGGCACCTAACACATGACTGTCATTGTGTTACAGTGAAGACATAAAAAGAGTGGGTTTAAAGGGAGAAAACTAAAAAAAAAAAAAAAAAAAAAAAAATGCAAAACAGCTTTTCTCAAATTGTAGCTTCTGCAAACGCGAATGTGTCAACTCAAAGATTTTCTTACTTTTCACCTTCATAATTTATATCTGCTGTAAAATTCCCAAGCTAAATAGCTGCAGTGGGACTAATTACGGGACTTCTGTAACATTTATAAGCCATGTTTAGTCAACTGCACCCACGCAACCATTACTTTAGTTCTGGCTGTCCATAAAATTCTACAGTCCAGGACAAATTAATTAACCCATGATCTCAGTTTTAATGTACTTCTTCCCCAGTAATTAAGGTGTACAAAATAAAAAAAAAAAAAAAAAAAAAAAAAAGGGAAACTCTATTCAGTTTTACAACTCTGAGATTTTACTATAGGTCATAAATCTGGCACTGTTTGGGTCTGACAGGTTTTATTTCAAAAAGCCTTTGCTTATTTAACCAAGGGGAAGTATTGGTCTGAAAGCCAGCAGGAGAGGGACTGGATGTGACTGGCAAACAGTCACTGAGGAGCACACACAGAAACTCATCACTCCAGCACGCACACCTTCCTGAAGGTGACAGTGTGACTTGGTTTCCTTTAAGGAAGGCAGTAGAGGTTATGGCGTGTGCACTGAATTTAGACAGGCTAGCTTTAAAATGAGCTGGGTTCCACATCTTATTAACTTGAGAAAGCTACGTGCACTTGGGTTAGGTTAACACGTAGGGAGCCGCAGCGCACTGGCCGTGGGGAGGCAACAGGTGGTAGAAACCCTTGTGCACACATGATCAGACATCAACAGGAGCCCAGGGTCCACAAGTTCCTTCAGTCCCACTGCCCTTGAGAGGAGGTGCTGAGAGGCCAGCATGAATACAGCCTCGGTCAGAGCACGGAGGAAGGAATGGGGGAGCCAGGCCAGGAATACGGTTAGCCAGGCTGTAAACACGTGATTCCTAAGTGACGTGGCGGTGCGTTGCATGGCTGATGCAGAAGGGAAAATAATCCACTGCTTTTCATGGACAAAGAAGGGGTTAGCGGATTGCCGGAGAACAACCTCTCAACCCAGGCAGTGCGTGGAGCCTGCGGTAGGTGGCCTCCAAACCGACTCAGAACTACTCCTTCTAAAGCATTTTTTTTCCAGAAGCCCTTTAATAACAGCTGTTACTATTTATTGAACAATTAATGGGTAGTCTGAGGCATTTGCCCCAGGTAAGTACAATTATAAAGCCTGGGGCAAAGGAACAGGGAGGACTGGGGCTGGAGAGATGGTTCAAATGCTAAGGGCACTGATTGCTCTTCCAGAAGGCCTGGGTTAAATTCACATGACAGATCACAACCATTGTAATTCTAGACCCAGGGCCTGATGGGACCAGGTAAACACGTGGTCCACATACATACATACATACATACAAGCAAACAAAACACCCATGAACAAAAACAAAACAAAATGAAAACTGCAATTATAAAGTTGGGCCATGGGTTCAGCCTGGGGAGGGGCCTATCTCCACTTCAGCTCTTTCCTGTCAAAACAGGGCCAAGATACCATATTCACCAAACATGATCTAAAACCCCAGCACTCCAGAGTCTGAAGCAGGGGATCTGCTCTGAGTTCAAAGCTAGTTTCAGCTATACTGTGAGATCCAGGACAGTTCTGGGTAGAGTGAGATCCTGCCTCAAAGAGTTGACAAAACAAAGCAGTAATTACAGGTTACAGTTTCAGTCAAGGTGTTTGTCCATCTCCCACCAAAGTGCTCTTGGGTGGGTCGGGGAGGGGGGCAGGATTTGTATGCTCCATGCAATAATATGCTCCCAGCACTGAGGACAGGGCCCAGCACACAGCAGTACAATGCACTGGTTGAGTGACTGATGCAGTACAAGACACAAAGGAGATGCTCAGCAGCAGTGTTTTGTGGTTAAGAATTTAAAACCAGGGGCTAGAGAGTTGGCTCAGTGATTAAGACCACTGTCTGCTCTTCCAGAGGATCTGGGTTCAATTCTCTGAACCTACATGCTGAACCATTTGTCACTCCAGTCCCAGGAAATCCGACACTCTTCTTCTGGCCTCTGTGGGCACTGCATGCACACAGTGCACGGACATATATGCAGGCAAAACAGACACACATGAGACATAAAAATGAAGGTTAAAAAAAAAATCCCTCCTCTTACAGCCCTATGAATACACCCATTATCAGCCTTAGAAGAAAACTGCAGTCATTTCCTGAACTGCTTATTTTCTCAATACTAGATGATGATAATACTTTTCCCTGGGGTTGGGGTACTTACTTACAAGGAAAGGTCATGGCTCTACTTTACTGAGGTTGTACCCTTTTTCAAAGAGTCACAACTGGGGAGGGATGGGGTGAAGGCTGTGTTTTTCACTCATCTCTAAATACTGAGTTGGGCCCCTTATCTTGAAATGGATGACGGTCTTAGTGACCAGGGAACTGGCGATCCAAGACAGGTACTTTTTTCAAATCTTTGAGAAAATCAAAGGAAAGTCCTGTGCAATTCCAAACTACAGCAGCTCAACATAAAACATGGGCCTCATAAAATGCAGAATTACCATTTGGAGGAGGTAATTTTCATCAAGTAACAGAAGAAAGAGAACCAGTAAGTTATAGCCCCAAACATAACTCAAAATGCCCTGTGGACTGATGAATGAGAGTTATAATCCTGTTTTAGCATAGTTAAAAGAAATAAAATGTGATAAATAGTAAAAATGAGAAAAATTTCAGGTGCCTGAAATGACAATAAAAATAGTAAGGAATAATAATGATGACAGGCAATTAAGTTTAAACAGCCCCATCCAAGGAAAAACAGGCAGTCTCCTGTCCTCATCTATTTATGTGTGCGTGTTGGGGAGGGGGGGGTGAGTGTACTATTACGCCTATACATGTGGAGGGCAGGGGTCCATGTTGGGGTATTCTTTAAATGACTCTCCACTTTAATATATATATATTTTGGAGACAGGGTCTCACTTTGTAGCCCTTGTTGTCCTGGAACTCACTATGTAGACCAGGCTATCCTCTAACTCAAAGAGATTATCCTGCCTCTGCCTCCTGAGTGCTGGGATTAAAGGCATGTGTGCCACCACCATACCTGGTCTTTCCACCTTGTCTGTCCTCCATCCCTCTCCCTGAGACGGGGCTTCTCTGTGTAGCCTTGTCTGTCCTGAACTCACTTTGTAGACCAGGCTGGCCTCAGACTCACAGAAGCATCTGCCTCTACAATTACAGGCATGTGTCACCATGCCTGGCTCCACCGTAAGTTCTGAGACAGTCTTTCACTGAACCTGTAGCTCTCAAACTGGACAGACTGACTGGTTAGCAAGCCTGTTCCTCCTCCCCAGTGCTGGGACTACAGCTGCATGGCACCACCAACCACTCCTGGCTTCCCACGTGGGTGTTCTGTCGTCCAGGCAAGTCCTCTTGGCTCCCAGGGTAAGCACCTGACTGTATCAGCTGAGCCATCTTCCCAGTCCCTCTTTCTATTTTTGGGGGGACTCATCATGCACTTTGGTTAGCCATCAACGGCTCTAACCTATTGCTGAGTCACACTGAAAACAGGTCTTACTGTCTTCAAAGACTTGTTGCCCAACGGAAGTCACGGGTATAGATTAATGAGTTGGCCAGTTCTCTTTTGACTTACGAGGTGCTGTATTAGTAGAGGCAGACAGGGGCAATTGGAGTCACATCCTGGAGGAAGTGTGCGTTTCACTTGCACATAAACTACAAAATGTCAAGTTCACAAATGTGGCCTTCAATTATGGATTTTAATTTAGGCTTGATCTTTAATTTAGAAAGACAACTTTGTATTGTGCAACGTGTGATGGTAAAAAGTGACCAGAAAGGAGAAAATTAACATGGAATGATGGGACTAAGAAACCCAGGGGGAGGGCAGGAGTGTCTGCCTGGGTTTGGTGAAGCCTTTGCAGAAGGGAAATTGGGTGTTTTCCAGTTAAGTTCAGAATAGAAATAGGGAGCCAGAAGACACCCCATCCCACCTCACTTGGAGTTGTGACTCTTTGGAGAAGGATACAACCTTGGTAAAATAAGAGCCATAATCTTTCCTTGCAAGTAAGCACCCAACCAGGGAAAAAGGTATGATGATGATGATGACAATGATGTATTGAGACAGTGGAAGGAAAGGACAGGGTGGGTGTCTTACGTGCAGAATGAGGAAGGTGTAGGCATCGCACTGACATTCCAAACAACAAACGGTGATGTGGAACTGAGTTGTAGGGACCTGTGGCAGAGAGGGAGAGGGAAGGAGGAGGAGTAGGAAGAAAAGGAAGAGGGGAGGAGGGAAAGGAGGAAGAGAAAGATGAGGAGGGAGAGGGAGGAATGGAAAGAGGAGGAGTAGCATAAACTGCCTGAGACAGCAGAGGGAAAAAGTATGAGCATTAAGGACAGAGAGCCAGAAGATAACACTGACACAAAGACTACAGTGGGAGCTTGAGGGATCAGGCTGGAAAAGAGCCCCTGGACCAGATCCCAGGAAAGGCATGGGGTAGGGGTGGGGCTCCTGCAGATCACTTGGGAGTGATGAGAGTAGTGAGATTATAGGCTGGAAAGGTAATGAAAACAGAGAGTGAAGACTGTACAAACAGCCCAGTCTTATTAGACACGTTTAATCATTTAAAAGTGAATCATCTCTTGGAAAGCAGAAACTGACAGCTTCCTCCAAAGGCCCTCGGGTGTTACTGGAGCTAAGCAGTTTAGGAGATGTGCGGTAGTGTGACAGGGCGTGCTGGCAGAGGGTGCTTTGGGAGCAGGCTGGGATGGAATAAGGAAGGAAGCACAATAATTGAGGTAATTGAGGAAGGGAGACTCTAAGCCACGTTCTGAAATCTGTAAACACAAAGGCAGTAACATACTCAAGACTGAGCTTTGGAATTTTGTAAAAATGTATGCTAAAAACACCCTTAGCATCAAGAGACAACTGTCTTGTATGATGGGAAACTGGTTGCTTCTATATGGCTCAGAGAAAGAGAACAGCTGTGCAGCGTCTGGGCTAGACTGCTGAAACCCCAGAGAGTGTTGGTGCTAGACACCCCAGAGCGAGGCACAGTGCTCTCTACCAGAGGGTATGCTGGATGTTATCTTCATTTCCGCCTTCCCTGCACCAAAGGAAAGATTTGTCTAGGCAAATTAAGTTGCAGCTTCCCCTTCCTTTCGCAGCGCAGATGAAGCTTTGGAAATTAAATTCTCCCCAGAACTGGTGCCCACAGTAACCATCGAGTTCCCACAGTTAGCAGAGTACTTGGCCAGCCAATCTGTTCCACAGAGACTGGAAGCTGCTAGTAGGCTGCGCCCAAGGGGAATTCCACCCGTAAGCCTGAGCCCCTCTCCCCACAGGCACACCCCTACCTCGGTGGGCTGGTCGGTGGGCTGTGGCAGGAGCTGGTTGTGGTGCAGCAGCACTGTCTTTAGATAATCTAGGACGGTCTGGCAGGGCACTGTGGGCAGGAACAGAATTGGCACGTTAGCTAGCTTTCAACATGAGGGCGAAAACCAGCAAGTGATTTGCCACTTGAGGGAAAATCAGTTTCTCCAATGGCGTGACTGGGTACACCAACCACAAACCAGAGCAGGCCCCATGTCCAGGAACAGCTGCCAACAGGAAACAAACTCCAGTTTTTGTTTTGTTTTTAAATAAACTTTCTGTCTCATTTTGTTTTTGTCTTATTGTCTTTTGTCTTACTGTTTTACTTGTTTGTTCTGATTTTTGTTTTTATTTTTTCCTGAGCGAGAAAGAGACTGACAGCACAAAACTGAGGTGGGAGCTGTTGGGGGAAGGGAAAAAGATTAAATAAGTGCATGAAAAAATTTTTAAAAAATAAAAAAATTCGCCGGGTGATGGTAGTGGACGCCTTTTATCCCAGTACCTGGGAGGCAAAAGCAGGCGAATTCTCTGAGTTTGAGGGTAATCTGGTCCACAGATCTAGTTATAAGATGGCCAAACCTAGCTTGAAAAAACAAAAAGGTATTTGGGGGAAAATGTCAGGTGCCCCTAATTTCACCAACCAACTAAAAATTTAACCCACTTTGTTGATGCCGTGCTGGGACTATGCCTCTGGTTGGAGTATTAATTGGTGGAAGAGCAGAAGGTCATGGTGTCCCACACCAGCTCTGGGGAGACTGAGGCTCAAGTATGGTGAGGTCCAGGCCAGATATGTGTATGTATCCTGGATTTAGCATGGGGATTGCAGTGAAATGTAGAAATTCTCACTGACATATTAGGATTTGCATGAACCTCCCTCGACCCATATTTTGCTTTGAGATTACGAAATTTTAAATTTAAGCACAAAAATGATTACAAGGCATCTTATAAACCAGGAAATTCAGTATACCTTCAATGATGTTAAAAGGGATGGGAACTGGGTGCAGTGGTGCACGCCTGTAATCCAGCACTCAGGAAGGCAGGTGGAGCTCTGTGAGTTCGAGGCCAGCCTGGTCTACAAACAGAGTCCAGGACAGCCAAGGCTACTCAGAAAGACCCTGTCTTGGGGGAAAAAGAAAAGAAAAGGAAGAAAGAAAAGAAACGGGAAAGAGGTCAGTGTTATTAACAATGATTTATCTCAGCTGTAGGATTATGGTATTATCAGTTTTACTGTTGTTCTCATGAAAAGTCATACACAGTGAGTATCTTTTATCTCAAATCCAAGCTGTCCTCAAATCTGAAATTATCAAGAGTCAACATCAAGTCACAAGTAGAAAATCTGACCTCATGTGACGGTTGCAATTGAAACATAGGCACATTAAAGGTTTTTGTAAAAGTAAACCTAATTGAATTATAGTATATACATAATGTATATATGAAACACGAATATATGGCATGTTTAGACTTAGGCCTCACCCCCAAGATATCTCATTATGCATATGTAAATATTCTTCCATCTGAAGGGGGGGAATGATAAAACAGTTCTGGTTCCAAGCATTCTGGGTAAGAGATATACTTATGTGTGTTTTAAATCTTTCTATAAAGGGCACAACTTAACAGCCTCTATGACATGCCATGTTGGTTACACAGCCATGGCGGGCTAGAAGCTCACTCTCCCTGTCTTCCATTCCACAGACATTTAGGCCATATGTGGAGCAAGCCCTAACCAGGCCAGCTGCTGAGAGAAGCAGAAGCAATGCCTCCTGGGAGTTCCCAGGGTTTAAGAGTAGCCGTCTAGTGAACTTCTCAGAGGCCTCATAATCTGACTGCCACCCCAGGGCTGTACTGTGAGCCTCTTCCAAAGACACTGCTACAGTTTCCCCATGTTAAGGCCAGGTGGCTCTCCAGCTAATAATTTTCAGTGTACAGATATTATTTATTGGCCATGTAGGGGTCTGGAGCATGCCATCCCCTTACCTCTTCTTCCGGAATGACCGATTACAGGCTCAGGCTGCCACACCCAGCTAAAATCTTGATCAGTTCATCTTTCCTCAAGCACTTTATTTTATCTGCCTCGCTAGTCAAAAGACTTCAAACTCCTCAAATAGCACTCAGTAGTTGTATAGGAATGTTGTTTTTTAAAATTTCGGGCAATCCCAGTTATCTGTTGTGTCTAATAATCTTCAAGCAGCCCAATCGGATTGTCTCTGCAACATCAAATAAATTCCTGAACAGAAACATCCCAAATCAGATGATCAGCATTAATTATTGGTCTCCTACAGTTGCATGGCTGGAGCCTTGTTTCAACAGGAACTGGGGCATCAAGATGATAGGCTTCACCTGTGCCCTCAAGCACCATATATGGCCCTTTGCCTTATCAGGACATCAGGAGATAAATGACATGCTTAGGGTAAACACTGGCTGGAAAGCAACTTTAACAGAAGTATGCCCGGTGTGTACATGGACACTGGGAAGGATATCTCTCGAAGAGTACCTTGTCTGAACTGGCCACCGAAGAATGCACAAAAGTTTCTCAAGATGGGACACATATTTTTGGGGTGGTGGTGGAAAGAATAGGGGTGAAGACAAGTGTCCGGTCACCCAAAAGTCAAAACTGTCCAATGATGTTGGACACTTGGTACACTGAGTCTCCTAAAATGTTTGGAAAGAAAGCCAAACACAGCTGCACATGCCCTGTAATCTCAGCTCTCGTGAGAAGCAGGCAGGAGGATCAGGAGTTTAAGGCAGTCTTCAGCTACACAGATAGTCATGCTATCTTATCTCCCCAAACAGGACCCCCGAGAAGTGAAGCCTGGAACTGCAAGAAGGGAACACAAATCTGGCCCCTTTCTGCAGGTAGACACTGCTTATCATGTGGGAAACCCTTAGAGTCTCTATATTGCTAGGCTCTTTCTGTTCTTTCTTGGTTAAGATGGGGTCTCCCAGGATGGGGGACTCTCTTCCTGCCTCAGCCTTCTTTGTACTTGGATTACAAACATGCTCTACCAACAGCTAGAAACAATTTTCTTTCTTCTTATAAGGGTAGTACTGATGTTTACCTGTTAGCCTTAGATGATGGGGAGGGGGTTAGCTACCATATCTGCCGCTTAGTGAGTCACAGCTCCCTCTTGGATTCTGCATTTGCAAGTTTGCATGCCTGCTGAGGTATGCTTGGAACTCCCCAAACCGGAACTTTTGCAAGCCATTTGCAGACTCAGAGCAGTTTGGAATTTGAGTCACCTGACAAACGTTCCTGCTGTGATCGCCTTTCAGTTCTTATGCTGAAAACAAGTGTCCTCGCCACAGTTTAGTTAGGATTGTTCCTTATATTTCTGTTTGATATTTCACTACTAAAATGGCTCTCCACTCTAATGTGAAGTGCCAACACTCAAAGCACACACACACAAAAAAAACAAGGTTACATACTTCTCACCTGAGGTACTGTACAAGAGGCTCTCAGAGGGCCTATGCTTTGTTTCTGTGAGAAGTAATGCCACAGTGTTCACTAATTCACTGGCTAATTCAGGATCATACAGTGACACAATACAACTACCCCAACAATGAGAACTGACTTCAGAGTGCAGGGTTACAAACTGGACACCAAGTCAGAAGGCCTGCACTACGTAACTCTCTACCTTCCGCTGCTCTCCCATCTACTAGGTCCCAGCTTTCTTGTCTGTAAACTCAAAGAGATGGCGAGTGGGCAAGAGCCCAGAGGTTCTTAACCTCTGGGCCATCTCTCCAGCCCCCAAAACTGCTCACATGGACAAAAAGAAGATTAAAAAGTTATATCATACACAAAAATCAACCACTAATTCATTGACTATAAATAATAAAAACTATAGAGAAGTCCTAAATACAAGACCAGAAACTATAAAATTCCTACCAGAGAAAGCTGGCCCAGTCAATAAAATGTTTTCCTTACAAACATAAAGACCTGGCTCCAGCTCTAGCACCTGCGTAAGAGGCTGGGTGTGGTGGTGAAAGGAGGTCCCCTGGGCCTTGTGGACTAGCCAGCCTCACCTAAATGTGAGCTACCGGCCAGCAAGAGACACGCTCCCTGATTCCACCACCTCCACACAACACAGGCAAGAGCCAGGCTGTGTTCACAGTGCACCACCGTGAACAGCAGTCCTTCACGAGGAAAACAAAACTCAAACCTACTGCCATGCCACCTCATAACCCTTGGAATGGATACCATAAGGTCAAACGATGACAAACGGTGATGAGAATGAAGACTTGTGTTCTCAGCGTGCAAAGATTATAAAGGTTTCTTAAAAAAATTAAGCATAGTGCTACCATACAACCTAGAATCTCCCTTCTTGGAGTACATTCAAAGGAAATAAAATTAGCACCTTGTGAAGACATCAATCCACACTCTGTGTTTACTGCGGAAATGACATGACTCTCCCCACAACAGAGAAATAGTTAGAGGAAAGTATTTGCCAGAGTATTATTCACTTCTAAGAATGAGTGAACTGGGGAGATAGGACAGAACTATCTGGTCTAGGTTCTTTTTTAATTTTTACTTTATGTTTGCCTTCATGTATGTGTATCACACATGTTCCTGGTGCTCAGGGAGGCACCAGGCAGAATAGGGCCTGGAACAGCTGTTACATTTGGTTGTGAACTGCCCTGTGGGTGCTGGGAACCAAATCTCGGTCCTCAGCAAGAGCAGCAGTTGCTTTTCACTGCAGAGCCTTCTCTCCAGCCCCTGTCTGATCTAGTCTATGTGTATTTTCTTTAAAAAACTAAATATTCAGAGAACAAAAAAATATCAGGCCAGGCATGGTGGCACATTCCTCTAATCCCAGTATTCCTCAGGCAGAATCAGGCAGATCTCTGTGAGTTCAAGGCCAGCCTCGGCAAGTTTCAGACCAGCTAGGGCTACACAGTAAGACCCTATTCTCAATAAGTACAGTAATTAAAAAAAAAAAATTATGTTTTGTATATTTGGTGCTCACAAACTTAAAGGTATTTCAACGGGTACACTTTGCAGCCTTAGAATAGGTTTTTAAGCTCAGCGGGTACTGTGCTTGCCTAGCATGCATGAAGGGTTTATTCTCCAGCACGACATACAAGTGGTGGAGGAGCAAACAACCCTGTAACCACTCCCCAGCACTCCAGGAGCTCAGTGCTATCACCGGCTACACAGTGAACTGGTAGGCAGTCGGAAAACCAGGAGACCCTGTCTTGAAAAAATAAAACCCAACCAACTCCCCAGATGTTTTCCTATTTTAGTACCGATGTACTTTGTATTAAAAAACAAAAACAAATGCACCAGACCACTGTGATTGATGGTGTTACTTCTTCTCAGAGGGGCATAAAGATGGGTATGGTTTACACTTTTGGGCAGATTAATATGGTATTTTGATATTTGTCCTCTGTGAGCACTCTAGGTACTGGGATTGTGAGCTCACCACAAGATACCCCGCCTGACACTCTCTCCATTGAGAAACTCCAACCAGCACCATTTCTAATTATCTCCCAGCACTTCATATTCCAGATCTGAAAAGCTTTATCTATTTATTGTTTCTTCTTTTTAACCCATTTTCATCTATTATAAACAAAATCGGACAAACTTCTAGATGTCTAGCATGATGATCTGATACAAAAGGAAAACTGCCAATGTCACTTCCCTGGGGTGAACTGCTGACACCTGAAAGGACCTCTGAGAGAAAAAGCACCCCCAGCTTCTGGCTGGCAGACACTTCAGCAGCAAAACACAACATGGTGGAAGGTCCTTCTCAGCCTGTTCTGGGTTAGATCCAACACCTTTTCTTCCCCTTGTGACCACTGCAGTGAGCCACTTTTCCTTGTGGGCTGATGGGCTCACCCCCTTTAATTCACTTCCCTTCCAGGTACAAAAGCTTTACTTCAGGGAGGGAAATAGAGCAGGAGCCTCCATGTTCCCAGCAGTACCTTCAGGAGAACCTGAAGACACTTGAGTTTTGACAGCTGGGCTGTCTGCAGTGCTCAGTTACGCTCACCCTTCCTTGTTCTCTCTGCTGACTTCTGGATGCTGCCTTCTCCTTTGTGCCTATCTGTCCTGGTGTCTAGCTCCCACAAACTGTCAAATAGGGTAGGTTCTACAAGACAACTCTAGGTCTTCCTGTGGGAATGTTCCATCTCTAGGATGGTGGGGTCCCCTGGACTCATTCAGAGCAGGGACAAATACAGAGTTAATGCCTGACAGTGCACATGTAACCAGCTCATTGTACTTTTCTTTAAGTGCACGTCTAGGGGCATAGTCTTCCTAAAAAATGCAGTTATTAAGAGTCAAGAATGGATTGTTGAATGATTCCCCAATTTGCTGTTCATCCAAAGGAGGCTAGGGGGAAGGGAGGGGGCCACTGCTTCCCTTTCCCTTTGGTCAAGTTTCTACTCTCGGCCTCAAACCTGAAGACGGCCTAGAATGCCTGATCCCGCTGCTTCTGCCTCAGTGCTGGGATTGATGTGTGCCACCATGCCTAGCTCTCCATCCTATTTAACATAATCACAGTTCTGGGTGAAATGGCCATTGGTTCTAGGTTTATGGAAATGTCCTCAACCAGGCTGAGGAATCCACAGGAACTCTGACAACTGTTAGACTCCTTTCAACCAATGTCATTCAATATCTGATCATCAAGAGTGTTCAAGAAATTATATCATTTTTCACCTTTCCAGGGAGTCCAGACAGTGACTAGTGGCAGGCCACCAATGAGTTATCCCTGACATTAACACCTGGCCTGGCTGAGCCCTAAACTTAGGATATTCAAGAACACTGCAATAGTTAGGACTAGGAATTAGTAATATTCTGGGCATCTGTGTTGCCTCTTCCTACACGCAGGAATGTCTAACCAGGATGTGGCCAGCAGAAGCTGCGGGCTGCTGCCGACTGCCTGGTGTTGGTCTCTGCAGCAGCCTGTCTCTTTGATTCTATTTTCTCCCCCCTGAGAAAAACGAGGAAGGAAATAAGATAATTGCTGGAGGTAAACTTATAGTGACTGGGCCGTATCTGCAGGGCTGGCAGAGGCGTAAAATCACAGTGCATCAGCTGAGACCACTTCTCCCTGACTTGGGGAGTCAAGTGACAGCGTGGTTCCACATAGCTTCTAGGTTCTCCCAGGATGTCTCCTGAAGGCATGACAGCCTGGCTTGGAAGAACATCATGACTCCCCTGACCCAAGATTTTCTTCTCCTGTCTCTCCTGCCGAGACAAACACTGAGTCAGATTCCACCATGTTATGAGCCATTTGGAGAAGTCCTTTAATGAGAGATGGAAAGCAGATTAACTTTTAATTTGTCAACTCTATGTAAGTGTATGTGTGTGTTCTTTTTCTGAAACATATTTCATGTAGCTCATGCTGGCATCAAATTCCTGTAGCCAAGGATAACCTTGAACTCCTGATCCTCTTGTCTCTACCTTCCAATTCTGGTACTACAGATATGGACTACCAAACCTGGCTCTGGTTGGGCAATCATAACATGTTTCCCGTTTTCTGTCCAATGTGTCCCTACAAATAGATGGGGGCTTTCTGCACTACTTCCTTATTTCTAGATGAGCTACCAATTATATGGCTGGTGCATGCAAACACGCACGCACACAGAGAGGATTAAACAGAAGATATAAGCTTCTATTTGCTGTATTTTATCAGTCTTAAAATTCTATTATTTTGAATATATGAATATAGCTATGGTATATAGTTGACCATAAACGTGTAGATTAGTGGGGATGTGGCCCCACTAATCTTGGTGTCAATGCAAATCCCTCCCTCACAGGGATGAATTCAAAGATATAAGTAAAATGAGTACTTTTGGGTTTTTTCAAACATTTTAAAAATGATTCATTCATTTTTATTTAATGTGCACTGTATTTTGTCTTCATGTTTATCTGTATGAGGGTGCGAGATCCCCTGGAACTGGAGTTAAAAACAATTGTAAGCTGCCATGTGGGTGCTGGGAATTGAACCCAGGTCCTCCAGAAGAGGAGCCAATGCTCTTAAACACTGAGCCATCTTTCCAACCCATACATACTTTTATTAATGGCAGAGGAAAAAGCATTAATAACAAAAACTCAGAGGTCTGTTCATAACAAAACTACAATTCTAATACTCTGAAAATGGAGAATGTTTAAGAAGAATGCCTCACACCAGAGGCACAAATAGTTTAGGGGCAGCTTAATTAATGGTTACTTTTGACTATTAGTTTGCAATTTCTAGGTTAACTTTGGGGGGAGGGTTGCATGCTGAAGAGATTGCCTGCTGAAACTTAGCCAGGGAGGCCAGGGAAAGTGATGGACAGAATAGATCATGTTCTTCACACAGTGCCGAATCCTGCTAGTGCAAAGATGGTTTTGTTTGCATTTGTACCAGGGGACACAAAGGCCATATTTAAGTACAGGCCACCATTAAAGGACTCCCAGTCTCCTAACAGTTGATGTATGTCAATATCAAAGCATCCCATACAGGAATTACTTATATACCAACAGACACATCTTTCACGAGGACCGTGGGCTTCAGGGCTTAACCGAAGAACATGAAGCTAATATAGACAAGACAGGTTAGCGCTTGTCCTGGAATTCCTGCCCGGACTGGGCAAGCCAAGGACATCTTAAACATCCTGCTTTTTCAACTTTTCAACATCCTGGCCCTACCTATTCCCATCACTAATGCTGCACACATGTACACACAGACAGAACTGAGACAATCACAGATTCAAGTTGCCACTGCCTGCACACGGTGTAAACACATACCTGGGATGCTCTCTAATTTCCTTCTGAGCTCTTCATTTTCTTGTTGCAGTGAGATAACCTCCTGCTCCAGCTCCTGGCAACGAGGACAGTAGCCTTCCTCTTCCTCCTCCTCTTCCTCCTCTGGCAGTGTGGATGACGATGGGTGACCATGGGACTCAGATGTTGCTGGGGAGGTCCAGCCACCTAATGTGTGCACCGGGGAGGTTGACAGAGGGTCCACATCAGCCAGGTGGCCATACTCACTGACTGACGAGGTGTTCGGTGTCGGGAAGCTCCCCGAGAGCAGGTAATTTTGGAGAGAGTCAGTGAACACTCTCAAAAAGGCAGAAGTTTGTTGTTTTCTTTGCATATATTGCATTTCTATGTCTATGTTGTCAGAGGTCTGGCTCTGGACCCCTTTTGCAATGTGACACTGGTCCTGTCTTTCATTATAACTAGAGCCTTCCTGCTTGACGCAAGAAATCATGGATTGAGAATGGTTGGAGTCCAGAAGTTTTCCTCCACAATTTAAGAGACTAAGAACACGGCTGCACTGCTGGGCAAAGGCATCCAGGATCATTCGGCTCTCTGGAATGAAATGAGAGAGACATCAGTGACCAACAGCCAGGCTTGGAAGAAGCAAGGTCCTCCATTTCCGGCCTAACCTTCCAACACAAACGGCCCAGAGAACCCACCACGGAAATGACACACAGCTCCCCGCTGTTCTGTGACCAGTGGGTGCCCCAACCTCCACCTCTGAGAAGAGGCTGGGAACCATATGAAGACGCCCCTCTCTGGCCTGAACAGGTCTGAACTCACACCTTTGGCTTCATTAATATCCTTAACTCTAATGAATTGAACCAGCTGCTGCAGACTCAATTCCTCATTGATAAGAGGCCTTACTGCAATCATTACTGCTATTTCTGGAGCGCCCTCTTGCCCTTGCTATTCATCAGCAGATACAATCCCTGCCTGCCACAACCACTCAGCTCACAAATGCAGACTGGTACAGAGAGGTAAGTCCTTGTGAAGCGCTCACTAGAAATCTAAGGTAACACAGAGGGCTCTACAGCCAGAGGATGAGCGCGAAACAGAACTGTCACCAACACCTGCGCTTGCCAGTCTTCCTAATCTGGAATTCTTATCAAGGCCAGTGGTTAGAGACATGCAGCAGAGCTCTCTGAAAATGGGTTATTTCTCTTCTTAGGGCCATTTGCAGTGGACTGCCAACTGTCCAAGAAGGGCAAAAAGTGTGTGTGCCACAAAGCCCACATACTTGAACTCTTAACCACACTGTCAAGCAGTGGAAAGTAAAAAAGCAAAGAGGAACCAATCAACCTGCTACAGAGACAAAGTAAAAATCTCTCCGGAATCCCGAAAGCATTATTTACTGTTGTCCCATGGCATCTCAGGTGTGCCTGAATCAGGCTGCCTCTCTTCGCATGTAGAAATCGATCTCAGTAGTACAGTGTGACACACATTTCAGGGCCTGTTCAGCAGAAGGATGCTGTCTCCGATTTCTTCTTCCCTTGCTCAGACTAATAGTAACAGGCAAGGTACCAGAGAACTCAGGTACCAGAAACTTATTTGACAAAAATGTAGATAGCTCCTGGCTTTCTATGAAAACACTGGCTAGATATATTTCTGTTTTGCTTGGTCTGGGAAAGAAAAAAAGGATTCTTATAAGTACAAAAAAGAAATGGTAAGATGCTTGAGGTCTTCTTTGGGGTAGGGAAGACAGCTGGAGTAAAAACCCTCCAGAAAACTCAGCATATATGATGAATGAAGCTACGGTTCTAGCGGAGTCTGTGTTTTCCATGAGCTATGGTACAGATGTAGCACCCCAGCTAATCTGGAGGCCAAACAGGAGAGTCATTTAAACCCATGAGCTGGAGATCAGCCTGGGCAGCACAGTGAGGCCCCTTCTTATGAGAAATGGGGGTGGGGGGCAGAGCGGGGCAGAGACAGACACTGAGACTTCTGTCTAATGCTCAATGCCTATCATGTTTTTTTTTCCTTAGTACATTTTCATGAAGTAAGCAGGTATTAAATGTCCTGTTTCAACTACTTGACCGGAAGACATAAAGAAATCCCAGTAGTGACCCCAATACTCAGAGGCCAATTTCCCAAGCCTGTACAATTTGGGGGAATTCTGAGCCAAAACTCTTCTGTCCAGGAAGAGTAGTAGTCTACAGACTACACTGGGCTGGGAGAGTCAGATTATTACAGTGCTTCAAACATACCCACTGAGGGCTGGGGAGACAGATCGATTTGTAAAGTGGTTGTCACTCAACACAAGGACCCACGCTTCATCTTCAGGGGCTGTATAAAGAGATGGATGTGGGGACATGTTTCTAATCCTGGCACTGAGAGCCTGAAACAGAGGGTTATCCTGGGGCTCTCTGGCTGCCAGGCAGCCCAGCCTAACGTCTAATCAGTGAGGCCTTATCTAAAAACAGGGTAAAGGCTGGGGGGATAGCTCCTGAGCTCACTGCACAGGCATGAGGATCTGAGTGCCATTTCCAGCACCTATATAGAAAGACAGCAGTGGAGGGTTGGGAGTGGGCAGCAAATGCCTGTAATCCCAGCTTCAGGGAAGCAGAGATGGAAAGCTATCTGGAGCTTGCTGAATCGGTAAGCTCCAGAGAGACCCTGTCTCAAGAAAACAGGGTGTTCTCTATGTAAGAACTGCCTGACTCAAAAGGCCCCATCCTTAACTGAAACACTACTGGCAGTTGATAGCTAATGGAGAATGAATTTTTTTTCGGGAGTGGGGGGTTGGCCACTAGTATGTTGCCCATGCTCAAGAGAATTGCCACAACTCCATGCACACATGGACAGTGCTAACTGGGCTTGGGGGGTTATTACAAAGAAAGATATTAAGCTGGGAGACGCACAAGTGGTTCAGGATAAGGGGAGCAGCTGGGAGGGGGATAGATGTGGTCACATTTTGTTGTATATGTGTATGAATTCTCAAAAAATAAAGAATAGGATGGAGCAACTGAGGAAGACACCTAATGCAATGCCTCCATCCCCTGCCCAACTGAACAGTTGTTGGTAACTCTTATAAACACAGAGCCTTTTGTTTTTATAGTGTTTTCAGATTAACTCAACCAGGGCTGGGGGTGGGCTCTTGTGGTTTCTCCTCGGTACATTTCCTTACTTTCTCCTCTGGGGGAGGGGAGGAGCTGTGTGTAGAGGGGTGGGTGCCACATCCCCTGTAAAGGTCAGAGGGTAAGTGTCAGCATCTTCTACCTCATTTGAACTTTGTCATTGCTGCATACAGCAGCCTTGCCCAATTGCACCCAGAGATGCTCCATTTCCACCTCCTGTGTTGCTCTACAGGATGGCTGGGATTGCAGGCTTGTGCTGCAGTATTTGGCTTTACCTAGGTTCCAGGGATCTGCACTGAGGCCCTCACACTTGCAAGGCAAGGATTTAACTCACGAACCGTCTCTCCAGTCCACCTCCTCATCTGAAGAGCAATTCTACCCTACCCTTCCTAAGACTCTCATGTGACAAGGTCAAAACCTAGGAATCCTTCCACAAACCTCTCTGAAGGCCTATGCTGGGGCCCCCCTCATCTGAGGTATCTAGCTAAAATCATACAGCATGGTGTGAGAGCTCAGGTGTGTGGCCCATCTTAGTGAAGATAAAACAGAGTTGGCAGAGAACAGCATGGCTCATGTGGTGGTTTGAATAGGTTTGACTCACGTTTCAATACTTGGCCTATAGGGAGTGGCACTATTAGGAGCTGTGGCCTTGTTGGCAGAAGTGTGTCACTTTGGGGGTGGGCTTTGAGGTGTCCTATGCTCATGCTCCTGCCTGAGTGGAAACAGAGCCTCCTCCTGGTTGCCTGTGGAAGCTAGTCTCCTTCTGGCTGCCTTCAGATCAAGATACAGAACTCTCAGCTCTTCTTCAGTACCTGCAGGCTGCCATGCTTCCTGCCACGATAATGGACTGAACCCGAAACTGTAAGCCAGCCCCAATTAAATGGAGTTGCTTTGATCATCTTTGATCATCTCTTCACAGCAATAAAACCCAAAGTTAAGACAGCAGGCTCGGCTCAAAACCCTGAACTCAAACCTGCACACTAATGAAGATGAAGAGTTCCGCTCTGTACCTCTGTCCTAAGTCCTACAGAACCTTGGGTATCATTTTCTTTACTGACCTAAACCAAAGAAGGAAGCAAATAGTTGAACCATACAAGTGGAGAGGTGTTCCACTCTTGTTGTTTTACTTCCCTGTTTTTGTTCTTTTAGTAAATCAGAGGATGGTATTGATCGGTGATGCTCAAGTCTAGCACAAGAGCAGTTTCATTCATTTTAATCCTATAATCCCACACAAGACCTTAAGTTGTATTTACTGTTTGCATTTTAATTATCACAGTCCCAATTGATTTACGGCCCATACACCTTTAACATAACCTTGACAAAAGGGACGAATACAAAAGAATAGGCTAAAATAGAACTGTCTAGAAAGAGCTGCTCAAATATATCTGTTCAGTGTCCTACAAAACAGAGTAGTTTTAATCATATTGATGAATCACATTTCAGCATAGATTTTAAGGGAAAAAAATTTGACTTAGGGACAAGCGTGATTTGTTTTCTTAATTGAAGGATAAACTCATAACATGCTGAGAAAAAATCATTATGCAATATACTACATTATGAAGATAATCTATTAAAGTGCACTCAGAAAACCAGAGAATAGCTATGATCACAAAAATAGTTTTAGCCTGCAGATTTGAAAAGGCATCATTCTGAATTTGCTCTCAAAACTGATCTACAGAAAAACAGCAATTGTAAACCTTTAAGGTTGAATTTTCCCTCTTTTCAAAACCTTGAAATATCTGGGCAGTATATTTTAACATCACCATACAAAAGAGTGTGATAAAAATATTACCATTGCACTCAAGGGGAGGGGACTCTTCCATTTCCTATGTACCACAGTCAGCAACACTTCAGCTTCTGGGCCGACTGACTGCAGTCAGAGACGCAGGAACTGGGTGAGCCCCTTACCACCAAGAAACCGAGAAAAGTTCTGTTCCATATGAATACAACCGGATGACTACTGACCCTGGAGTCTTAACTGAGCAAAGCATGAACATGGGTTTTCATTTTCTTACTTGTGTGTGTGTGTGTTTTAATCTCTTATCATAGAGAGCCTCACACTCAGGGAAGTACAAAGTCAACAGTCTACAAACACACTTTTAAAACCTGTCTGTCCATAACTTCCCCGCAATGTTAGGAAATCACAACCCCAAAGCCCTCTGGATGACCACTATCTTAATACGCTTTATTGTGTGGCCTACTGGGAGATGGCCCTGTGCTGTGAATTGTGCCCACTCAGATTCTAAAGTCTAAACTCATGATTATTATTTTTTTAATTAAGATTTTCATTTCTAGAAATTCTTCTGCACTTGTGGTTTTAATCCATCCTAAATCTGATAAGTGACTGACAGGAGGGAATGATAAGTAGGCAATCAAACACCGCCTCTTCTCCACTTTAACGGCCTTCTTTGTAGGGAAAGCTGTGCACAGAATGTGCCCATCACAGCTGATCCCTCAGAGAATTCTGTCTCTGGGAGGAAGATCACAGTAGTGAAGATTAGCAGTAACCTTTTGATTTTAGCTCAGCCAAGGGTAAAATATGTTAATATTAAAAACGCAGAAGCAGAAAAATTTCAGTGACCTATTACATATCCACACATTACATCTTCCAAAGGTTCAAAATAGACGGTTCCTTTAAAACACTTCTTTTTATGAGGACTTCATGGTATGGTATAGGAGAGAGAAGTGAGAAAATCAGAGTGTCTTGGAAAACAGCACCATCGTCTTAAATCAATGAAGTACGTCTTTAAAAAAATGCTATCAATTTTTTTTTCATAATGGCAAACATCAACACAGCAAAACAGGATGCAATTTTTCTAAATAAATAAATCAATGGTGTGTCAAAATTAACAGATGAGTTAATATACTCGGTGCTATCAAAAGCAGGTGGTGCTTCCTAATATCCATCCTGCTCAGTCAATCCCTGAATGTTTTCTGGACCATCAGTATATAAAATAGGATGCTGCGATTTGTGACGGCAAACAAAAGCAATCATGCCTGCCAAGCACATACTATAACAGGCAGCATTTCAGCTCTGCTAGACAGAAAGTAATTAGAATGCTTTTAATGTCCAAAAGAATGATGCTGATAGGCTGCCACAGATGTGTAGATTTATGAATATTTATATGGTGGTTTATGGCTGACACTTTTATCAGTTGAAGAAGATAAAATATCTGCCTGACTCAAAAGCTTGACAGTCAGGTTAATAAAATCTCATTAAAGAGAATGACCTATGCAATTATATAGGATTTATTGTAATTCATTTTTGATTGTACTCTGCTTAAAGATGCAATTTCCCATTTCCTGATGCCAAATTTAGGCTGCATATCAAGATCTACGTGGGTTTTAACTCTAAGCCTCCCACAGAGGAAAATATATGCTTTTTAAAACCAGAGTGTATTACCCCTTTTAAGGAAAATTATACTCTTCATGAGATTTTTAAGAATGTTTTTTTTTAAACCTGTTTTTAATCATGTATTTCTTTTCTCAATGGCCGGTGGCATTTAATGGCAAATCAGATTCACTTCAACCCTTCCATCTTTTCACCACATTTATGCTGGGCAGTCAGTGACATCTCTTCTGTCCCGAGCTCACGTACCACACTGCTGTTTGACTATATTCAGCTGACAAGGTGGCCTGAACACTCACCACAATTACCCTGCTGAGAGAACGCAACAGGCAAAGCCCCACCTGCCCCGCCCCACGTGTTTAAAAGGCCCTGGTGAACACACAAGCTCATTGGCTCAAAGTGACACCATTAGTTCCTCAAAGAACCAATCAGCTCTCCATGTGGCTGTCCCTCTGATGGCCACTCACATCACTGTGCTTGTTGAGAGATGGTCTGTCCATAAGTGATTAATATTACCTTAATTTGGTGGGGCCCCAGCCAGAACATTTTCTGTGCCACATAGAAGAAACCTATTATCCAATTCCCATCTTTTCAGCACCTCTAGGTGTGGGCCCAGCCCCACACTCCCACCTTACCTCAGAGACCTCACTAACAAACAAAAACCAACACCCGCTCCCCCCAACAAGGAAAACCCCAACTAGAAGAGCCTTGAGAAAACTGATAATATGGGAATTTGAAGGCTATAAAAAAGTGCCCTTTCCTCTCTTTAGATTCAGTGACAATGGCCTCTAACTTGTGACAGAGACAAAACAAAACAGGGCTGTAGAAAAAATACTGAGGGGAGAAAAAAAAAACTAAAACACACACACACACATACATACACACACACACACAAAAAAAAACCAAACAAACAAAAAACAAAAGCAAAAACCAAACAAACAAAAACTTCAAATGAAGGAAAGATGACAGAGAAATTTCTGGAACAAGAGCAGCTTTGGAAAGAATGGTAAGAAACTGAGGCTGAAAAGCAGTACATGGAAATGGTAAGGTGGGATAGATTATAGTGTTCTGGAGGAAGTAAAAGGCTGAAACACAACGGCCTGAAAGAAATGCACGTTCAAGGACTGAACCAGGCAAACAAGGAGCTCCTTCCCAAAGGTGTGGCTGGAACCAACATTATACAAGAGTGCAAAATATGGGAAATGGGAAAAAGGACCCACACTGCTGAAAAAATAAAAAGAAAAAAGAAAATGCTGAGCTGGGCAATGGGCACAAGAGCCCCAGATAATGAGTTCCAAGCCCGTCTGAGATATAGCAAGAAACTGTTTCAAACACAAAACCCAAACAAACATGAGCAGGGGAGAACCTAACAGTGACTATAAAACCACAATGGGATATTAGGGCAAAGGAAATAAGAAAAGAAAAAAAACAAAAAACAAAAAAAAACAAAAAAACACCTCAGAAACAGCAAGAAAGCCCATGTGAGAACCCCAACTTGGAATCTCTAACATCTCCAAATCATTGGGGATATGACAGAAACAAGTCACTGTAACCTGTAATTAGATTTTCTTTCTCCAAACCAATCCCTCACATGTCAAAATATTGACAAACAGCAGAGCTTTTAGCATAGGCATCTATAACTCCTTCAGAGCCAATGCCCATCTATTGCCACTAGGAAAAAAAAAAATCACAAAGTATAGATTCGCTGACAGTTGGAATCTGGGAAGCTCCTTAAGTGCCCTGAAAGGCCTGAGCAGGGACTTTATGAGCATGAGCCCATAAACGTGGCTGTGTGTCGCTCCTGGGGGAGCAGGCAGGCCTCACTCAGGGCTGTCTCACACTCCCTGGAGGAGATAACAATCTCAACCTCTCCCCTGGAGACTGGAGACACAGCGACTACAAACGCGGGTCTCAGGGACAGGGTGGGTGGGGACTGTAACTGCTCTGTGAAGGCCCTCAAATCCCGGGCTGGAGGAGTGACCCCTCACCAAAACCACCCCACCCCCGAGCACCAGGTCCGCTCTGACGGCCCTGGAGGACCTACGTGTCTTTGCCATCCAAACTGGAGCGCACAGAGTAAAAGAGGCCCAGAGGCGTCAGGAGGGGCCCAAGCGGCCCGGGACTGCCCGAGGGGGCGGGGACCTCGAAGGGGCGAAGGACAGGCCTCCCCCGAGGCCAAGAACCTTCTCGGCCGGGCGAGCACGCAGCGGGTGGGAATGGGAAGCTTGGCGTGAGGAAAAAGTGAAGCGGCAGGGAAGGAAATGGGCGTCTCCGCGGAGTCGCCTGGGCCCGCTGTCCCGGGGCCTGCGAAACCCACGTCCCCCCGCACGCCCAGCTCTTCGCCCGGAGCCCGCGCCCCGGAGCCACCTGTTAGGCGCGCGCGCCCCGTCGGAAGCCCGGGCCGCAGCGGCGCCGGGCTGCTTCTTCCAGAAGTTACCACCGCCCGAGCGCAGCCCGCTCCCGAGGCCCACGGGGCCCCGGACGGACGCCGCCTCCACCCCAACCCCGCGCCCGCGGCCACCCTCGCAGCTCCGCAAAGTTGCGGCTCGGGGTCCGTACCTGCACTGAGCTCCAGGCCCGCGCCGTCGCTACCCGCGCTGCTGCTGCCCGCGCCGCTCGCCGGGCCCGGGCCGTACCTGACGACGGCGGCGAAAGACGACGACGACGACGCGGCGGCGGCCGTGAGCGGCGGCGGCGGCGGCGCCGGAGTCCTCGGGTGGCTCGGGGGCGCGGCAGGCGTGCACGACGGCGACGACGACGAGGCGGCGGCGGCGGCTGGGGCCCGGCCTGAGCCGGCCGGGTAGGAAGGCTGCGTCGGGAACGGCGGCGGCGGCGGCTCGCTGCTGCTGATGGGCACGGCGGCGAGCGGCGCGAAGGGCGGCGGCGGCGGCGGCGGCGGCAGCGGGGACGGCCGCGCGGGCGGCAGCTCCAGCAGCGTGGGTCTGTCGTAGCGCTTGGCCAGCGCCGGCCGCCGGCTGGGGAACGTCTTGAGGACGCTGTAGGGGCCGCGCTGCTTGTAGATGCGGGGCGCGCTGGGCCCCTCCTCCGCCGCTTGCATCTCGGGCTCCATGCCGAGCCTCAGGCCCGGCCCGCCCCGCGCGCGGCTCCGGGGGAGGCTCGGCCGCCCGGCCGCCCGCTCTGCCCCGGCGCGCGCCGGCGGGAAGGCGTGTGTCTGCGCCGTGGCCGCCGCCGCCGCCGCCGCTGCCGCCTGTCGCTGAGCCTGGCATCTCCGAGCCCCCGCGCGGGGGGCTGCCGCCCAGCGCTGATTGACAGCCCGCCTCGCCAATGCCTGGAGGGAGAAAGGAGGTAAGGAGCAAGTGTTTAGGGTAATATCTGCTAATGATGATGGGGGCGGGGCGGGGCCTGGCGCCCGGGCGGCCCGCGCGCTCGGCGCCTCGGACGGGGTCGTGGGGGCCGGGGGAGGGGAGCAGGCCGCGGCCTGTGGGGACCCAGGTAGGGGGGGAACGGAACCTGGAGGGCGTCCCGGTGGGGACAGGTGGAAGAGATGGGGTCCCGGGTCTCTCGGCTGGTGGACTTGTGACGCCCGCGGCTGCCGGCCGGGTCCGAGCTTTGGAAACCAGTTCCCGGCGCCCTGCTACGTGACCTCCCAACTCTCGGGAGTGCACGGAGGGGGTGGTACCTAGAAGTTAGGGCGGGGTCGCCGGAGTGCAAGGGTGGGACAGGACTATAAGTTCTTCTAGAAGGAAACTGCACCCCCCCCCCCCCTCCCGAGGAGAATGTCTTGAAGGACTTGGCGCAGGCTGATGGGAGATTTGTCCTGCCTTAGGGTCTTGCTGTCCCACGTCTGGCGGCTGAACATGAAAGCGCCCTAGGCCTTGTGCATGCAATACTATTTCACTTATTCTCTGTAGTGGGCTGGGGCGGAGCAGAGGGACGCCATCGTTTCTCTCCATTCTACAGATTTGAAAACTGAGGTTCTGCAGGGTTAAAGGAAATTATCCAAATTCACACAGAGGAACTTGTGAGTGAGTTGCAGGGGTGCATACAGGTCTTAAGAATTTAAAATAGCTGGTAGACGGTGCGATTAAAACGGAACAAAATGTCCTCACGCTTTCCTCTGGAATGGTGACCGCTTTGAACATTACTACTCTGTATGCTTATACTTTGCAAGACCAAGGTGGCCTGGAATCTCACTTCCTGCGTTGCTCATACTAACTGGCATACCACCAGGCCAGGACTCTGTGGAGCCCTGGATCTCAGTACTTGTTTGAATGACGAAGACCTCAGTAGTTAGCCAAGAAGCTCCATCAGGTACTTCAAATACAAGGTTTTGGCCTCTGCCAGTCACTCCTTCCTATCTCAAAGGAATCATCCTTCATTTAGGCCTACATCAGTCCCAGCATCCCCTCCTCCCAAGCTTGGATTCCAGCCTCATTCATCATTATCCAGGTCCTTGATGGATGACCCTCATCTCTCTCCAGTCTGGAGTTACTTTCTTATTCAGAGCTATCCTTCAGTCTTGGGAAAGTGACCCATTTTCTTCTGGGGTCCAGGTCTTTGACCTCTAATTTTCCAGATTTCCCTTCCTTTGGAAGAGTTCCTCTTCCTTGCTGTTTCCAGAGTCTGGTCCCCCTACCCCCTTCCTCTCCTCTGCAGGCTCCTCAGATGGCGCTGTGCCCCTCCTCCATTTATTAGAGATGAAATAAATAATGCCATAAATAAAAGTATTTGGGAGTCCAGGAACTGTCAGGGCTGATTAGGGCATAGAGGACATTTTCTTTCTCATTATGCAAAAGCATTTCATGGGGAAATAAAAGAGGTTTCATTGTAACTCATGCATGTCATATTTCAAGGAATTCAAGATATTAATCATATTTAACATTATTTGCAGCGTTTCTTCTCCCTGGCTTCTGAAAACTGCTAAATGAGGACACGTGGATCACCAGGAAGAAAAGGAGATGAGCATGAGAGGGACAGTTAAGAAATAATGAAATGCTGGTGAAAGACAGAATGAGATGCCAAGGAGATGTTTCTTAGGCACGTAAGTGAGAAGTGGGGGAGCGGCTTCTGAGACAGGAGACAGCTGAAACTGAATGATATACAGAGGAAATAAATGATAACAAGCCTCCCCTCACTTTCCTGCCTAGGGAGCAGTTCTGAATTTTGCATTGAAATCTTTCCCTCCCACTTTACTCCCTGATAATTTGCCAGTAACTCCCGGCTTGTGAAAAGAAATTAGGGTGGTCGTGGTGGTGGTCATGGGGCTTACTAGAAGTAAAGAAGTGATTTCCTGGACCTGGGGATGGCGCTTTCTCTTCTAGATTTATTTATTTAGATTTATTAATTTTATTTATAGGTGTGTTTTGCCTTCATGTGTGTATGTGTACTGCATGGATGCCTGGTGTCGGAGGATCTGGAATTGGTAGCACAGATGGTTTTGAGCTGCCTCTTGGGTGCTGGGAACCGAGCCTGAGTCCTCTGCAAGAACAAGCACTCTTAACCACTCCACCATCTATCTCTCTAGCCCTTAATGTATATACTCTAAATTTATGTTGTCCTTGCCACTCAAAAACCCTGAGAGTCTGGGAACGATACTTCCTTTATGTTTTACTGACTAAAGGGACCGTCTATTATTTATATCCTAAAGTGGCCATTTCTATAAAAGCAAATACGAAAAAAGAAAAAAGAAAAGAAAAAAAAAAAAAGAGTGGTCACGATAGCCGGGATCTTCTGTAATAATACATGTTGCAAACTTAGTCCTCAGCGTTGGAAGGTGTGGCCCAAGGGTAGACATTTAGTGTGTGGGAGCTGTGTTGTCAAGCTTCGATTGAGGCCTGCTACAGAGGAGCTTGCAGTTGTGATTGTGAATTCTGAGTGCTCATGTGGGTGATGCCTCTGCCATTTTATGGTGCATGTAACAAGAAGAAAGCCCTAAGCAGGTGTTGCTGCCCATCAGCCCTGCATGTCTCAGCCGCTGGAATGGGTGAAAAAAAAAAAAAAAAACCCACAAAAAAACAAAATACAAAAGAAATCCCAACCCCCTCCCCTGCTAAGCCACCCAATTCCCATTGTTTATAAATTGCCTAGCTTATGGTATTTTGATATAGCAGCACAAAACATGCCTTGTGTAGGTAATGAGAAGGGGATTGTTAAAACAACTACTTCTTTACAATGTGGAAGTGGCTGGGTAGTATAGTATGGAAGAATTTGGGAGAATAAACATGAAAAAGCCTAGGCTGCTATCAATGGAATACTAATGGTGACTCTAGTGAAGACTCAGAACTATAGGAAATGTGTGGAACTTGCTTTTTATGGTTAGTTAAGCAGTTTTGATCAGTGGTAGAAAAGCAGAGTTTGGTGGTTCACACATGTAATCCCAACACTATTCTAATCCAGCACTCACTTGGGAGGCAGAATCAAGAGGCGTGACCTGTACTATATACCCAAACCCTATTTTAAAAAAAGAAAAAAAAAATGCCGGTTATGGTAGTGCATGCCTATAATATTAGCACCTCAGGGAGGCAGAGGCTGGCAGATCCCTGTTGAGTTCAAGGCCAGCCCAGTCTACAAAGTGAGTCCAAGACAGCCAAGGCTACACAGAGGAAGCCCTGTCTGGAAAAACACCCCCCCCCACACACAAAACAAACAAACAAGAAACAAAAAGAGGAAGGAGAGAAGGACCCGTAGGCTGATAGTAAAGCGTCTCTGATGGGAACGAGGCTGAAAGCTTAGAACCTGTTCAACTGTAGCTGAGGAGTATTTGGAAGTCAAGAGTTCTGCATCAGGAACAGTGAGGCAAGATGGCTGGCAGAATGAATACCTAAGCGGTTGCAAAACCTTCAGAGGGCTGCGCAGCTTCTTCTGGCTGAGAGACTAGAGAAATGATTTGAAGATGCTATTTATAATTAAAGGGGATGCAGAACAGAAAGATGGGGAGATCTGTAGCCTGGCATGGTGAAAGTGGAAAAGCATGCCCGGGAAAAAACACTACAGCCATCAATCCTTTGCTTGAGATTACGTGGGTTCAGTTGCTCAGGATCTAGTCATCAGGATAAGGAGACAGTGCCCTTAACCTTGTTTCTGAGATGTTTGAGACAAGCCAGGACTTTGCAGGCAAGGTTTCCAGAAAGATGTGTGCTACCCAGAGCCACTTTGGAAGCCACATTGGTGCAGCACTCCTGCGCTGGTCCAGGTGTGCCTCAGTCTGGACTGTTAGCTTTGGAAGTATCTGTGTGTGCTGACTCAGTGCACAAGCTATGCGACCAATATCAAAGACAGGTTGGGCACCCCAACCAGGCAGTACCTAGTAAAGGCATGTCCCCCAAACTGTAGAGCCACTAGTGTCCGGCCACATCCTGGGAAAGCTCAATAAGGTGATCTTAGCAAAGGCTGAAGAGTGGGTACCTGATAGTTTTTGGGGCCCAAACCCTTTAGGACAATGGTTCCTAACCTTCCTAATGCTGTAACTCTTTAACACAGTTCCCTGTGTTGTGGTGACCCCAAACAATTCTTCACAACTGTAACTTTGCTACTGTGAGGAATCGTAATGTAAACAAATGATATGCGACTCCCTCCCCAAAGGGTCAGCCAACACCCACCCAAAGGTATCCCAGCCCACAGGAGGAGAACCAGTGCTTTAGGGCAACCAGGAGGTGTCAGATAGTTATTCTAGAGTCCTTAGATTTAAGTGTCATCCTGTTGGGTTTGGACTTAACCAAATGCCAGTCTCACCCTCATGTTTGCGGTTTTGAGATAGGGTCTCACTGTATCCTGCAGTGGATCAGAAGTAACTGTGTAGCATAGTCCAGAGGAGAATTCGAAGTGATATTCCTGCCTCAGCCTCCCAAGCACTGGAATTACTGATTACTGCGTGCTGGGGTTACAGACATTAGCCACAGTTTCTGGCCCATATTTGTATTTTGGAAGTCCATAATGTGCTTGAGTTCACTGACTCCCTACTGGAGAGGAATTAGCCTCAGGATGAATCAGAGTACCTGATTTAGATGCCACTCTTGGACTTTGGGGGGATTTTGAGATGGACAGTTGTAATTGTGTGTGAAAATAACGTGTTTTGGAGGACAGGGGCAGAATACTAATTATTTGAATGTGTTCCCCAATATCACGTAGTGCAAACAATCCCCAGGGTGAAGTGTCAGGAGGTTGGGCCCAGGGGGAGGGGGAGGTCCTGGAGCCTGCTCCCTGTGAATGGTTGGAGTTAGAGTACCAGGCAGGCTTGATGGATGCTTCAAGGACATCTATTGCTCTCCCTCATCGACACTGTCTGCCGTGTTAGAACGTAGGAGGGGAGTTCTAACCAAGACATCCCACTCTCCAGAACTATAAGGCTAACAAACTTCTAGTGTTTATAAACGACCCCCTCTCTGAAATTCTGTAATAGCATCACAGAAATGAATTAAGATAGTGGCTTAGCTCTGCCTTCTATAAATGGTCTTCCAGAAGAAAATTGTTAGAAATGTAAAGCAGGGGGCTGGGGAGACGGCTCCGAGGTTAAGAGCACTGCTTGCTTTTCCAGAGGTCCTGAGTCAATTCCCAGCAACCACATGGTGGCTCACAACCATCTGTAATGAGTGCCCTGTTCAGGTGTACATGCAGGCAGAACATTGTATACATAATAAAATAAATAAATCTTAAAAAAAAAAATGTAAAACAGTCACCTTTCATAGCCTCACACAAGCAGCTCCCTAGCCTGCGTCACGGAGAGTGGTTTTCTTAGCTAAAAGCAAGCACCTGTGGTCCAAATGCTTAGGACACAGAGATATGAGAATCCTGACTTTGAGGCCAGTCTGGACAGCTTAGCAAGACCCTGTCTCAAGATAGACTAAAAGGTTGCCAGGAGCATAGCTCATTGGTGACGTACTTACCCAGCATGCTCAGGTCCTCCTGGGTTCAGTCTTCAGTATTCAAAAAGAAAAAGGGGGAAAGAAAAAAAAAAGTTCTTATTAACTATTCCTCAGAACATGACATGGGCACTCACTCCCAAGCGTGGAGCAGTTTTCTCCCACACCTAAGAACTGTGTGTGAATGTCTGGAGCACAGCTTCCTGAGGAGGCAGCATCTATTGTATTAAAGATCCCATGGACTACTTGACCTTGGCTGACTAGAACACTGATTGTGAGTTGATGGACACTCGGGGCCAAAATTGCTTTGGGCCTCTCAGGCCCTTTAATAGCCATTTACTTTTACCCCTTCCCCGTCATATCTGGCCTTGGGACCAGGTTAAGCTCTTACAGTGTGTCACTAACCTTAGCGGACCTCTGGCTTCTGCCAACTCTAAAGCTAAGAAAATTCTGACATTTCAGCCTGTAGAGAAGACTTCCTGCCTTGCAGTAGCTTCTCTGAAGTTGTCTACCAGTGTTCTTGAACATACATGTGTTTATCACTTTCTTTGTTCTGTGGCTGTGAAGAAAGCCTTCTCTACAATAGAACATGCTGTTCAGAGAAGCCTGAGCCTGAACCTGTGTCCTGGGCCATGGCCTCTCACGTTGGCTAGGGATAAGCTGTTTTCTTTCCCCCTTGAATGTAAAGTTGTTGATTTGCAGCTCTTCAGTACAATTGAAATAGAGCCAAGTACTTACAAAATCAGAAGTAGCACCGAGTTCTGCTCTGTGGTCTGAATCATTGGACAGTGACTTTGCTGCCATCTGCTCTTGGGGACCTTACAGAGACTAATTGGATGGTAATTACCCTCAAGCCTTAAATCTTTTTAGATATTTACTCTTATCTCAAAAATAAGAGATAGCAAACTTTTGAAAGCCACAGGGCTATATATGGACAGGGTGAGTTTTTGATTGGCAGCATGTCAATTCCTTGAGCCATCCAGAATATAGCTTTTAAATAATAACTCAGCCATGGGAAAATGCTTTTTATTGCACCAATTTCAATGATATTTAATGAGCTTCTGATTGACTGTTTGATCTCCCAATGTTTTGTGCTACTTTTAATTCATTTCGTATAATAGAAAAAAAGTAATTGGAATAAAATTTTGTGACAAGATAATGACCTTCCACTTTGAAATTAAATGTCTGATTAGCTTTAACATTTTAATGCTGAGATTATACTGCAGCAGGCACAGGAGTATGCATACTGTCATTCCATAGGAAGTGACTGAGGAATATGCCTTTGCTTTGTTTATTGCATAGTGAAAGGGCGTGGCGGCTCTAGAACCAGAGACACACAGCCTAGAAGGGAAAGAAGCAGTCTAACTGAATAGTGACGGAGATCTCAGTTCATCCAAATACATCATCCATTCACCCAGGTATTCGTAAAAAATGTTTATTGTGCACCTACAGTGTGATAGGTGTCTTTATGGTGCTGAGGGATATAATGGTGAAACAGATTCCAGGGTCCACCAAGTGAATGAGGAACAGATGATAAATTAGTCACCAATTTAAAAATATTTGCTGAGAGACATAATTATTGAGAACAGTGGGCTAAGAGTGTTCTCATTTTTAGTCTCTTTCTTTCTCCCATACAGCCCAAGGAGCCTCAGACTTGCAACGTGGTCAAGGATGACCTTGAACTTCTGACTCTCCTGCCTGTAACTCTCAATTGCTGGAGTTGTGTTTTAGGGTTTTTGCAGTGGGTGATCAAATGCAGGGCCTGTGCTTCCCAGGCAAGTACTCAATCACCTGGTATACACCCCCAACACCTATGTGCTGTTTACTTTTATGTCAACCTGATGTGATAGAGTCATTTTTAAGTAGGGAACTCCAGCTGAGAAAATGCCCCTATCAGATTGGCCTTCAGTACTGAAGATTGATGTTGGAGAGCCTGGCTCAATGTGGGCAGTGCCATCCTTGAGTTTTGGTGGTCCTGGGTTCTATAAGAAGCAGGCTGAGCAAGCCACAAGGAGCAAGCCAGTAAGCAACACCCCTCCATGGTGTCTGCAGAAGTTCCTGCCTTAAGTTCCTGCTCTGACTTCCTTTGATATGGACTGTGATGTGCAAGTATGAGCCAAAGAAACCGTTTCCTCCCCAAGTTCTCTTTGGTCATGGTCTCCCATCACAGCAATGGAAACCCTGACTAAGACGAGAGTTACTTTGATGAAAAGACTGATAGTTTACATGTGAGAAGGCCAGCCCATAAGAACAACCCAAAGGACAACAAGTACAACAGCTGTTAGGTGGGGTGATTTGAGGGAGCAGAGAGAAAGGGAAGAGTTTAGGAGTGTCAGGCAAACAGCAGAACAAAGATGGCTCTAGAGCAGGTGCAGGCTGAGCAGGGCCAGGTTTGTCAAAAGAAATATCGGACTCATTGTAACTGTAGTGGGACTTGGAGGGAGTTAAGCTGTGGAGTGACATGACCAGATTTGTGTTCTTAAATGCTAATTTTTCAGCCAGGCAGTGTGGTGCACACCTTTAAACCCAGCACTTGGCAATCAGAGGCAGAGGTATCTTTGAGTTTGATGCCAGCCTAGTCAGAGAGGTTCCAGGATGGCCAGGGGTACATACACAGGGAAACCCTGTCTTGGTGAACCAAACAAAACAACAGAAAAGCTAATTTTCAGAAAAGGTACAACCATAACTCTTATATAGATATAAAAACAAATATGTAGAGATTTTATTTGGCTTGATAGTCTCAAGGAAAATCACATATTAATATGGAATAAAGGAAGGTTAATGAATGTATAGATTTATTTCCCAGGGGAAGTGAGCAAAGGAGGAAGGGAGCCTTTACAACATTCTCAACTTGGATGTCTTGTAGTTATCTAAGCTTAAAAAGTAAAAAACAAAAATAGCAGTGAAAGTCATGAGAGAGTACCAACAGGTGACTACAAAAATGTGTCATTATACAGAACAGGGCATCCTCATGAAACGGTTTTTTCTGCACTTCTTTGAAAAAATAACAAAAGCAAAAGAAGCATTGTTTTTAGATTCACAGGAGGCTGAAAAGATGGTATGGAGAAGTTCCAGGTACCTTTCATCTAGTTTTTATAAGGAGTACATCTTATGTTCCTCTAGATATGTACTTTGCATGAAATATGTGCCCTTCTGAGGTTTCACACTTAATTTCTTGTCCTTTAGATCTAGCTATGTTTGTTGCATGCATTATGGCTGTTAACAGTTTGGGTCAATTACATGTGCAGCCATTCTGAACAATACTGTGTAGGTGTTTTGTGTGGAGATAAGCCTGTATTTTGTTGTTGTTTGTTTGTTTGTTTCGAGACAGGGTTTCTAGGACAAGCTTGGCTGTCCTAGAACTTACTCTGTAGACCAGGCTGGCCTCAAACTCAGATATCTCCGGCCTCTGCCTCCCAAGTGCTGGGATTAAAGGAGTGTACCACCACTGTCCTGTAAATTTTATTCTCTGGGACCAAATGGCTAAGAATGGGTAGTTGGTGTGCTTTACTTGTCTTAATGATTGTTCTTATTTGTTCACAGGATCTGATTGGCAGCAGAGACACAGTTGTTGTTTTTTCTTCAAACCAGTAGCTGTGTAATCCCTTTAAAATATAATTGTGCTTTTGCTGGGTGTAACAGTGCACACCTTTAATCCCAGCACTTGGGAGGCAGAGGCAGGTGGATCTCTGTGAGTTCAAGGCCAGCCTGGTCTACATAATGAGTTCCACAACAGTCAGAGCTACATAGTAAGATCCTGTAGTGAGACTGTCTCTCAAAACAAAAACACAACTATGTGTGTGTGTGTGTGTGTGTGTGTCTCTGTGTGTGTGTGTGTGTGTGTGTGTGTGTGTGTATGTATGTATATTTATCACACACATACCCACACAAATACACACATGCAGACACACACACACCAGCTTCCATTCTCCTCTCCATTGTCTTCCCTCACTTCAGGACAAAATGTAGAGTTACAGTTACTGACCTAAGGTCTTCATGACCTCTGGCTACCCTTTGCCTCTCAGAGCACATTCCTTCTCCCCTTTCTGTTCCTGTCCCCACTCTGGCCTCACTGGTCTTTTTGAACAGGTCAAAGGTATTTTATCTGAAGTTCTCTTTCCCAGAGTGTCTACACAGGCAGCTCTTTTCCATATCTCCTGCTTTGCTGTGGTATCCCTGTCTAGGTGAGGCCTTCACTAGGCTTTCTGCTTAGAGCTGTAACCCTGTCCCTCTTTTGTCACACACACACACACACACACACACACACACACACACACACACACGGTCTAGCACTGTCACTGTCTAGCACTGTTCTTATAATGAGAATGTAATTCCCTTACAGGAAGGCAGGTTTGCTGTGTCTACAGCATGTGGGGTAGTGCCTAGCACATGGTAGAGGCATGGCGGACTTGTGTGCGAGGGGGTGATGTTAAGAGCTGTGGAAGCAGTTGGAGAAAGGGCTAAGGTTACATGGGACAGAATGGCAGCAGTCATGCTAGGTAGACTAGCATGAGAATACAGGCAGAGTCCATTCAGGAAGCACATGTTCTATTGTGTACAGCTCTGGACAGTGGAAAGATGCTCTTTGTCTTGAACTTAAATTTTCTCATTTACTTCTCCTAGTAGCTGGCCTTAGGATTACTCCAGGGAGGCTCAGTCTTTTCTTCATTCTCTCTTCCAAATGAAGTCTGTGGCAGTTTCTTTCCTTTCTGTAAAGGAGGGTCTGCAGAGCCTGTTTGCAAAAGTGATATCCTTTTAAAGAGTACATAAAGGCAGTCATTTTAAAAAATTGGATTACTGTTTCTTTTCACTAATAGTATTCTACATTCATGAGAACTCGTGTAAATAGTAAGAGACCCCAGTTGAGCCTACACCTGAGGTAAGTGCAGAGGAGCCTACACGTGAGGTACCCAGGAGTACTAGGGAGTCTCTGGTGTAGAGCTGACATACATGCCTCTGAGATTAGCACTCCCCCATGTCTTCCTCCCACCTGTCCTAGTCTTCACGTCCATTAGTTTTATTGGAGTCTGTCTGTTCCTTGCTAGTCCACATGGCCCCAGAGGCTGTCAGCTGTGTGCAAAATATCTATTTCTTACCAGATTCAGAAGTATCCGCATTGATCACCATTGCCTAATTGGGTCTTGATGATGGATTGTTTCATCCATGACCACTTCCAATATTATAATATGAGTATCATTTCCCTTGAAGCAAAGAGGACTGGAAAACAAAGAGTTCAAGAGATTTCCCCGCACTCAACAGCAAATTTGAAAAGCTTAACTGAAAATTCTTCGATTTAACCTAAGTGGCCGATACCTCTTTTGAAGCTTTGTAAATTTAACCATTTAGTTTTTTATTCTTCACTTGCCTTCAATTCCTGAAGAAAAATCTCCCCCATGTCACCTTGGACAGAAGTAGTAAATGTTTGAGATATTTAAGAAAACAAAATGGGATAGTGAAGCTCAGGAGGGAAAGAAAAAAGAAAGTTTAGAAGATAGATAGCAGAGGGACAAAATGCGTGTGATGTAGTTCTCAAGTTATTATGGCAAGATAAGTTTCCATTCTGCCTCTGCTGCCTTCCTGAGGACTATGTTATAACTGAATGACCAGGTCATATGGTGTCTTAGGGGTAAGCCGAGGTTTAATCTCACAGTGCCTCAGGAGCATGGCCTTCCATGGAGAGGGTACAGAAGTGAGCCAGGAAAACACAGTCCTAGATACTGGCAACTTCAGCTTTTGTAATGACATACAGAATGCATATGCTAATCCTTGCTGTTAGTCCCTCAGTCCAAAAAGCAACTGGATTTGTGTGGTTGCCCAGGGTATTTCATAGCTTGCTGACACAACTGCTGTGAACAATCATATTTCCGTTGGCTTTGGAAACCAGTATGTTTTTATTTGTAAAACAATTATTTTTTTTTTCTAACCCATTTTATTTTTTCACTATTTAGGTTGCTAGATGCTTTGGGTCTGACACAACTCCTGGGCTGGGAAATATGTTTTTGTTTTGTTTGTTTTAAACTTCTTCTTCTGTCTTTGTAGAGCAGCTGGTGTTAGCTTCATGGGTTGCGTGAAAATTAATAATGACTCTTCAGGCAGTGAAACTGCTCAGTGGGTGAAGACGCTGGATACTCAACCTGATGATCTGAGTTCAACCTGCAGGTCCCACACAGCAGAAGGAGAACTGATGCCTGCAAGTTGTCCTCACATGCTAAAATAAATAATTCCTTTAAAATAATGACTTCCTGTTGCTTGTCACTCAAGCTTCTGGGTGATTCGCCTTACCACTGTGGCGTCAGAGGTGAATGATGGCAAGGTCTTAGTTGCTTTGTTTTATCAGGCACTTTCAATAGTTTCCTAAGGCTGCTGGAGCAAAGTACAGCAATGTCTTGAACAAGCTTTATTTTCTTAGGGCTTGGGAGGTTAGAAGTCCAAAGCCCAAGCCAAGTGTCACATTGTGTACCTGTAGTTGAGCCACCCAAAAGTGCTGAGGCAGGAGGACCATTGGAGAAGAAGAGCTCAAAGGCCAGCCTGGAGAACACAGTGAGACCCTGTCTATATTATTTACTCTTACCCTTATTCTGAACGTAATACTTGATCAAAATGCTATAAAAAGGAGGAAGTTCTTATTTTGGTTCCCAGTCTTAGATGGTTTAGTCCATGATTGCTTGGTACCATGTGCTTGGCTGTATGAGCATGTGGAGCATGTGTGACAAGAGAGCTGTGATTTCAGCTAAACATGGAGAAGAGACTCCATACAGGAAGACAGAAGAGC